TTTATCATTGCTAGAAGTGTGGAAATTAATTTTTATAGAGCCCTCTCTTGGTTCTTTCCATTTGATGGGCTTCCATACTTTTGTTTGTTTAAGGCTCAAGGTATCTACATTCTCTACATTGTAGTTAACATATAGAGATAAAGCTCTATCAATAATGACCAAAGGGTGCTGACGTTGGTTGTGAATTTTTTTTTTTCATTTATGTTCTTCCAAATCTACTACAAAATGAAACAAGATTTCACAAGAATCGTAGTATCAGACATATTGGACTTACCAAACAAACCATTCCACCATTCCCTAATCGAATAGTCATTATCATTTGGCCCCTTAACATTAGAATTTATGATACTCTAGACTTGTTAGGCAACATATCTGAGCAATTTTTAAAAGTGTTCATCATCATAGAAGCCACAAACTCCATCAATGGGAACACCCCTAGTCCTCAGGAAGGCTTTTGTAGGTAGCCTAGAGTTTAGTAGCAGGTAAATAAAAGTTTTGATTTTTGGAAGAATCTTAAGCCGCTAGGTTTTGCTAAGCTGCAAGTCTAGGTCACCTAGATCCTTGTGCATAATAATAGCTTCTTTGTAAGCAGATCCAATAGTAAAATGACCTTTGGGAGTTTAATATCCAAATCAATTTATCATCATTTGAGTAAGAAGGGATAGAGATAGTTCTAATGTTATTCCAAATTGGGGGGGGGGGACTAAATTGTGAATCTTATACTCCTCCCAATTATATCTTTCATGATTAATAACATCGCTTACAAGTAAGTCATTTTGCTCGATTGCAACCCTTGAAGGGTCTCTGTCTATTCTTTCCTCAATTGGGGTCAAATCTAACTAGTTGTCATTCCAAAACTTTGTGTTTTTTCCTTTGCCCACAATCCAACCCATACTCCTTTTGAGTAAATCTCTGGAATTTAAAATTCCCTTCCATGGCCAAGAAATCCCACTCTTAGGCTTAATACTCCAAAGGGAGTCGTTTCTAAGGTATTTATGGGAGACCATTTAAACCCACAGGTTATGCTCATTTTTAAAATTTATCCACCTAACATTGCTAAGCAAGCCTCATTGACCCAATGTAAGTTTTTAAGGTCTATACCACCCCATCTCTTGGGGAGGCAAACTTTCCCCGAACTCATCATGAATGGGTTTTTCATCATTGCCTTTTGACCAAAGAAAATTCCTTTGACATTTGTTAATCTCCTCAATTACATTATTTGGAATTTTAAACGAATTCATGATAAACTGTGGCATTGAGCTGATAGTAGAGTTAAGGAGGGTGGCCATACCAAGAGAGAGAGAGAGAGAGAGACTTTATCTTCCATCCAGTGAGTTTATTATTGACTTTATCTTTGAGATTATTGAACAACACTTTTGACACTTTACCATTAAGTGGAATCTTTTTTCTCTGGAGGGATTCTTAGCATTTTTGATAGAATTTTTTGTAGCCTTGAAGAGATGTTACTTGAAATTTTAAGAGTTGACTTAGCAAAGTTTGGACTTTGTCTCAAAGCTTCTGCAAACTTTGCAAGGATCTCCCTTATCTTCACACATGCAAGGATGATGGCTTTTCCAAAAATCAAACAATCATCTACAAATTGAAGGATTGGAATATAAGGACCACCCTTTGAGGCTTTGAAACCAGTTGGGCTCTTTTGCTTGATTGAGGAAACTAGGTTTCTAATTCAAGCCTCCGCACATAACACAAAAATGTAAGGGGAGAGAGGATCCCCCTATCTAATGCCCTAGATGGTTCAAATTTTATAAAAGGAGAGCCATTAATCAATATTTTGTAAGAAACTAATTTAATGCAAGTCATAACCCAATCAATCCATTTCTTTTAGAAGCCAAACTTTGTAAGCACTTTCTTTATAACAATCCATTCAAGTTTCTCATAAGCCTTCTCCATACCAACCTTGTAGGTCATAAAACCTGATCTCCCTTTTTTCTTCTTATTGGAACATTTCATGTGCAATAAAAATATTGTGATTGATTTGCCTATTTGGGACAAGTACACTCTGAAAGGGACAAATAATTGATTCAAGAATCGGTTTAAGTCTGTTGACTAGAATTTTGGTAATGATTTTGTAAATAACATTACAAAGACGTATTGGCCTGAAATTGTTAACATTTTTTGGGCTTTTAACTTTGGGAATTAAAGTGATGAATGTTTCATTAAGAATTTTGTTTAATTTTTTAGAATTAAAAAATTTTTAACTACATTGCACACCGTATCTCTAATGATATTCCAGAATTTTTTATAAAATAGCGCTTTCAACCCATCTGCACCTGAAGCTTTGAGATCTTTCATCGAATTTAAAGCTTTCCAAATCTCTTGGTTTGCAACTTCCTTACAAAGAAACTTGTTTTGCTCATTTGAAATGCACGGGCTGATGTTTTTAATTAAATAATCCACACCATTAACATTCTCTAACTTAAAATTTATCTTCAAATTTTTTGATAATCGATGTTGGTCCTCCATCCATTCTCTCATCATTTTTTTTAATCTGAAAGTTCTATTCATATTTCTTCTGATGGACCTACTATTAGGAAAAATTTATTATTTTTGTCTCCAAATTTTATCCATTCAATTCTGTCCTTTTGAGCTCAGAAGATTTCTTCGCGTTTCAGAATATTGTCAAATTGATTTTGAAGAGCACGCTCCAGATTAAGAGTGGCTCTATCACTAGGGTTCTCTAGTAATTTGCTTTGAACCTCATTTAGCTTATGAAGGAGCTCACTCTTTTTTGTAAAAATATTACTAAAATGGTCCTTATTCCACTTTTTTTTATATATATATAAATTGAAGGGTTCTAGATCCAATGGCATTAAGGCTCCATGATTGAGTAGTAATATCAACAAGATTTGGGTTCTCACACCATATGGCTTCAAATCTGAATGGCTTTGGACCCCTTTAGATTGAGAGATGAGAGATCAGTAGAAAGAAGGATGGGAGAGTGGTCGGACGATAGAAAGGACAGATTAGTGAGAGTTGCATCAGCAAACTCCCTTCTATACTCATCATTAACGGGAACCCAATCCAACCTCTCCCATGTGAGATAGTTTTTCCATGTGAATTGGTTTCCAATTATGTTCATTTCAAGGGGGTTACAGTCACTAATTAAATTATTAAAATCCCTTGTATGTGAAGGAAGGACAACTCTTCCTCCCCTTTTATTTTCACTGGACCTAAACGCATTGAAGTCCTCAATTGGGCACCATTCCCTGTTAGTATTTTCAGCAATGTTTTTTAACCATTCCCATACCAAATTTTGATTAGTCTTGTTTGGGGGAGAATAAACAAAAGGTGCAGAAATATGATTAATTTCTGATTAGACAAATCAGTAATAAGGGAGTGAACTAATCTTAATCTTTCATTATATAGGATTACATCGATATTGCATTTGTTCTTATCCCATAACACCCATAAACCTCCAGAAAAGCCAACCAAAGTGATATTCTGCTCATTCATCATGTCCTCCAAAGTGATTGTTCTCCAAATCCTCTTGTCTCACTTGACCATCGATCCCACTCATCGTCCATATCTCCATCCCCTTCGCCCTCCTCATCCTTAGCAAGTTTTCGGTAACATTACATTATTCACTATAATTTTGGTATTATGGGAATTGGGTCAACAGAATGGATGACCGGTTAACCCATGATCCAATCCCTTCATGGATTTGGTCCTTTGGAGTTTGGAATTGGATTGGTAGACGGGCTGGGCTTCTTAACATTGTCACTATCTGCCAATAAAAATGCCTTTACAACATCACCCCGTTCACTGCTCTTTTCTTCCAAATCCACCCCAGCAGGCCCATCACCCATTTGCTCTTTTTCTTCCAAATAAACCTATTCCAATTTCCAAGGTACGCGTGCGTGGTGGTGCACAACAATTGGGTGGGTCATGGGTGATCGATCCTCTTAGAATTTGGGACTGCAGCGGCTGAAGTGTTGACCCAAACAAAAACAATACTCACTTCAAATAAATGGCTCAACTTTTACCAGTTGAGATCATGTCCGAGGAATACCAAGCTCCATTCTTCCCTTTCTTCAATTTTCATATACGTGATTATCCTTTGAGCATAAGAAAAGGGAACCCAGAAACAGAGAAAAGAGGGTTGCATTTCTGAAAGGAAGAGGCAAGTGGAAAGCCAAGAGAGGAACCTTCCTGGCACATTCAGCTCAGTTTCTTATTGTTTTCTATCATATCTAATTTAATATTTAATTAAATCAAATTATTTCTCTAACCACAGCTTGGGTGATTTGTCCACAAACTCAACTCAATCATGTTCTCTGTTTCAGGTTCAGGCACTGACCATTGGATTATTCTGACCAGGACCCTATATAGATATATATATATATATATATATATATATATATATATATATATATATATATATCTATGAAAAATGGAGATAAAACAATTATTTTTCAGGCAAATACTTGAATTGGAAACTCAACATCAATAAGATTATTTCTTTTTTCAAACCCCAAGGAGAGCAGCTTCTAAGTTCTACCTACCAGAATTTCCCTTTAGACTTGTATGGGAAGTGGGAATTGGATTCATCATTCATTCAAACTATTGATGGAAATGTGTTAAGTTGTTTTGACAAGAGTTCTTTAAGCATAGAATCATGACATGTGGATGTACTAATGGAACCCACCTATACAACACAGCGACTCCCCTTTTTTTCTTTATTATTTATTTTATGGGGCAAGAAGGAATTAACAACCAAGAAGCTGTGCCTAGGGATTTCACCAAAATCAACGCTTGAGATCAATAGTCAACCAGAAGGCAGGGCATTGAACGGTTAGAATCGTTCAATCAATGGGTCCCAATAAAATGCAATGCAACCAATTAATCATGAAGAAGAATAGATCTACTGTACCACAACCATCCCATGTTTCTAGAAGGAGGCCATTAACCATTATGATGATAAGCTCATTAACTAATCTACCAATTAGGAATTAGCAACCAACCGCACCGCGTTTCTGAAGTTCTTTCTGTTTGACCTCTCATTGGTCATTGGCTCCTTGCTCTTTCTTTCTCTCTTTCTCTGAAGGTGGCCGACGGGTCCAATATAGAGAGGGAGAAATTTCTTATGTTTTGTTTTTTCTTTCTTTCCTCTCTATTCTCCTATTTTGAAAGTCAAACCAGAGGAAGAAAGAGCCAGAGAAGAACTTCGCACCTCTTAAATTTCCGAACTAAATTCATCCTCGGAATCAGGTTTCATATCTCTGCCCTTCTCTCTTCCTCTCCGTCTCCTTTCCCTGTTTTAGGTGGTTCTTTTTTCCCTTTTCTTTTTCTTCTATTAAATTGTTCGATGAATTCGAACAATGCATCGAGCTCCGCAGGCGGTGGATCGGCCGATTCCTCACCACCCAGGAGGAATTCAAAGCGACCCAAATGTAAGTATCTCCTCAAAGTCTCATATTTTTCTTGTTTTTTCGGGTTTAAGTGTCAATTCGTAGATGCCCAGATGGATTTCCGTGATACCCACATGTTCGAATCTCCTGAAATCTCTGTTCTTTTAGGTTTTCTACATGGGGCTTCTTGCATTACTTTTCTTCATAATTGCTTTTATTGTTCACTTTCATGGGCGTTTCGCTTGCGTTCTGAGCTCTTGTTTAGTGTTTCTATTTATTTTCTTTTATTTATGCTCTTCCTCTTCTTCGATGTATCAGTTGGGACTTTTTGGTTTGCTGTGTGTCAGTTATTATTTGGTGTTCGTTTTGGAATATTACTTTTTGCAGGTTTGAACCCTAGCAGCTCAATTCCACCTGCCTTGGTTCTTCCAATCTGCTGTTTTTGGTGATTAATGGAACTGGTTGAGCTCTTTTTTAATCCCATATTTACCCAAAAAAGAGATTGAAAACATATTTAGTAGGATAAACTAGCAAAGCAAATTATTTCTCATAAAAATTAATTCCCAAATGATAAATGAGTTCTTTTTATGAAACTGTGGCTTTAATTAGCTTGGTTAATCCAGAGGGTCAACTACTTTAATTTTTGACATCTATTTATTCTCGGAATTGTGCTTTAAGTTTATGGAACTTTTCTCTCCAATATGCTCTCCCCACTTGGGATAACTGGAGTTGGAATGAAGAGAACAATCGCAAACATTGGCTGGTCTTAAAGGGTTAAGATTCTGTTATAGAATAGACTTTTCTTCTTAATTTTTTTCTAGGAAGCAATTATCTGAGAATATTAATTAAAATGTTCATAATGTCCAATGATTTTGTATAATCTTACTTGCATTTCAGATTCGAGGTTTACTCAACAGGAGCTTCCAGCTTGTAAGCCAATTCTTACACCAAAATGGGTAAGCAAGCTTCAAGAGATCTATAATTTCTTTTCCTCATATTTTATCTTTTCCTTAACATGTCTTCAGCATAGACCAGAGCTAGTATCATCTAACAAGCCCCATATTTCCTGCAGGTGATCTCAGCATTTTTGCTTGTTAGTATCATCTTCATCCCCATTGGTGTTGCTTCACTGCTCGCTTCCCGGGATGTATGTCTTAAAATTGATTCAACCTCTTATACATCCTTTTCTGTGGTCCTTTACCCCCAATTGATTTTGATTCTTTTGGCAGGTTGTTGAAATTGTTGATAGATATGAGACCGAATGCATACCAGCAGATTCAAGAGGCGATAAAGTCAAATTTATACAGGGCACAGCAAGCAAAACCTGCAAAAGAACTCTAACAGTAAGGATCTTTGCAAACAACCTCTCTTTGCTTGAAAGAAAAACTTTTGAAACCAATGTTGTAGATGAACCATATTTATTTCAAGTCCCATCAGAATGAAAGTGCGAGTGATATTCAGCCACTCACTCTTGCAGGTCCCAAAACACATGAAACAGCCTATTTATGTATATTATCAGCTCGACAACTTCTATCAGAATCATCGCAGGTATCGGCCTTTTCCATTTCTACCATTGATGCCAAAGTTGTAGATAAGAAATTTTATCAAGTAATTAACTATCATGAGAAAAACTTATATCTTCATCCCACCTGAAAAACATAAAAATGCAACCTATTCATGTGTTCCTTTAAGAATGAGGTTGAAATTCTGGATGTTTTAAGCATAGTTCCATATGAAAGTATTTTGAGCATCATTTGTAGATGTCTTATGGGTATAAGAAACAATAAAACGAGGTTTTTTTAACTAGGCCATGTAGGGAAGCTAGCAACCTCACCTAATATTTCTGCATAGAGGTATCCTGTTGCCAATCCAGCCCTTCCATCAAATGAAGGAACCTGTGCCTTTTTATGTCTTCACTCATGCAGTCCCCACCACTTTGTATTGTAGGTTTCAGCCTTTCCTCAAACTATAGTAACCATCTGAGCTATCAATTGTTATCTTAAACTAAGTCCATAAACAGACTTGTTTTGAAAATAGGGCAAGGTCTTTGGGGATTCATAGAGAGAGAGAAATATGAGGAATCATTTTGGCCTTTTGGGCCTCAAATAAGTTGCTATGTGGAAAAATCGTGTGTCCTGTATAATTCTTCTTTAAATGAACCAACTGGCAGATTCACTTGGAAAGTACATTACATTTTATTATCGTGATACTTTATTTTTACTCCAACCACGTAGATATTTATAATAAATTCCATGGCTCTCAATTTGACAATACCTTGTGACCTAGGTATGTCAAGAGCCGAAGTGACGAGCAGCTTCATGATCCCAAGAGCGCAAATGACACGAGCAGTTGTAAGCCTGAAGATACCTCAAGTGAGTCTCCGATTGTGCCTTGTGGTCTCATAGCTTGGAGCTTGTTCAATGACACATACAGCTTCTCTCGCAACAACCAACAATTGACAGTGAACAAGAAGGGTATTTCCTGGAAGAGTGATAGAGAGGGGAAGTTTGGCAGTGATGTCTACCCCAAGAATTTTCAAAATGGAACTCTTAGAGGTGGTGCGTCTCTGAATGAATCCATACCAGTAAGTTACTCAACTCCATCATCTTTATGGAACATCAACTTATTGGGTTACTAGTTCATTAATCTGGCTATGCAAGAGGCAAAGCCCTTACCTAGTTTGATGCATTTCGTGCAACAGTTGAGTGAACAGGAAGACCTCATTGTATGGATGAGAACTGCAGCTCTCCCAACTTTCAGGAAATTGTATGGAAAGATAGAGGTAGACCTCCAAGTAAATGATGTCATACAGGTGACGCTAGAGAACAATTACAACACATATAGTTTTGGGGGAAAGAAGAAGCTTGTGCTTTCTACCACTAGCTGGCTTGGAGGAAAGAATGATTTTCTTGGTATTGCATACCTCACAGTTGGTGGATTGTGCTTCTTTTTGGCCATAGCCTTCACTGTTACATACCTGGTGAAGCCAAGGTAACAATCCTTGTGACCACAGAAAATCTCAGAACCAGTTTCCTCACATGGTAATTTTAATGTTACCTTAGTTTTACTGACATTATTGAGCTTTCTTTTTGCAGGCGGCTTGGGGATCCCTCATATTTGTCATGGAACAGAACTCCTGCGGGGCACTAAGCACTTTTCCTAGTTGTCATACATGGCGAATGTACTGATTCGCATGTTGATCGATCTGAACGACTTTGCTTGTAAAGTATGGACTGCCCCCAGTAGGGTCTTCGAATTTTGTATTAGAACATCAATATAACTCATGTAATCATTTCAGGGGAAAAAGAATGTTTATATAAATATTTCTATTCAATTTCAATTTTACAAAATTGCAGTGATTAACTAGTTTTCATTCTGACGAGATTAATTATTTAAACAAACTTCTGTTGGAAATGAAGATGCCACAAGGAAACTAGAAAACTAACATGGTTTGCATTTGTTATACATAAATCTTGATGCATATTACAGTACTCTAAGCAAGATATTGGAAAGGTATGCGCCTTCTGGATAGGATGGGTCAATAGGATGATCACAAGCTGCTCCAGCTTGACGTAGGACAGTGACTTTTCTACCAGCCATCGAAGCAGCACTCTGGACAAGAATTGGGAAAATATCAATGACTATCAAGTGAATAACTTTAAAACCTGTAGGATGACCATAATCAGCTTCAGAAAGAAATTCCAGTACATGCATAGATTTGAACGATCAATACATTAGCAGCCGTCCTCTAATCAATAATTCTTCGACCAAATTATCATCAAATCTAGTAGAGCATACATCTGATCCTATCATTCATATTTGGGATTTTTTTTTAAATTTTTTTGACATGTGGACACATGAACATCCTTGATATTTCTTAAGAGATGCTGTACTCTATCAGTTTCAGGAATGCATTCAGATTGTGCTAGGAATTTTCTATTGGCTACTTGACAAAAAGTGGAAGCAATCGGTTGCTCAAAAAAGCATGTTACCAATCACCAAGCATTTTTGTCTTGTTCCTGTTTTCCATGATTTGCAGTCAATATGACATTAAAAAAAAGGAGTTACAGTCGATATCAACTGTATACATAACATCCTGAATAAACAGTAAATGCAGTGATCTATCCAAGATCAAATTAAAGAATGAACCTTAAGCCACCTCCATTAAGAAAAATAACCTCCAAATTAAGCTCCTATAATCATAGACTGACTACTGAGACAAAAAACACTAACCGAGATCTTAGCCTATGGGTAAAATTTCCAAATTCTGTTTTTAAGCTCAGTAAATCTACTTTTTATTCAAACATGAGAATGATTATCAGCACCATATGTGCTTTTAGGTTGCTACCTGGCATGTTATGCTCCTATATAATATCCAGGTTATAGTCGCAAAATTTTAAATGGCAAGTGGAATTTATTGAGATAAACCATCAATCAATAATACTACAAACAATACAAGTATACAACCAAAAATCCAATAAAATCAATTCCTTCAGCCTGTGCCTGTGGCAGATGTGTGTGCGTCGTTGCATCCCTAACAGAGGAGAAAATAGGAGCTTCACAGAATCAGAAGAAAGAAATATCCAAGGCCAAGTCATTATCAGAAAATAATAACCAAAATCAAATCACACTATGGAATTTTTCTTGGTATAGTTTCTGTCACAATCCTGTGACCCCTGTAACCACTATAGCAGAACAGAAAATAAAGAAGAAAGGAAAGAAGAGAAAGAGAGAAAACTGGTGTGGAGAGAAATAGTTCTCTACCTCCCTTATATTTATAATATTACATTAAAAGACCAAACTGCCCTCTTTTGGTAATTTTAGAGTAGGAAAAATCTGCTATGCCGCCTATTCTAGTAACTGTTTTAAAAGTGCAAGGTGCAAGGGCTTGAGTGCACAACATGGGGCGCATACCTTTTCAAAAGCAACCATACCTTCTAAGTGTATTCCAGTCCTACTTCAATTATGGGGCGTATATTGCTTCAAGGAACCAATGATACATCTGGAATCGAATCAGCATTAGAAAATAGCAGTGTGGGGTATTAAAAAAAGAGATAGCATGACAAATAAGGGGCTTATGTAGCTTTAAACTATAGCACTTGTACCCTTTTTTGGTTTTGAGGTACCCAAGGAAAACAAACTTGATAACCTGAGCATCCAACCTATCAAAACCAATACCCAACCTCAAACCAAAGGTCATATTCGTCAAGGCGCCCTTGGAGGCTCATTTCGCCTAATCGCCAAGCAGTTTTGTACAGTGTGCTATAAGATACTTTTATATTCTTAATTTTTTGAGGTTATAATTATAAAATAGACATTATTAAACTAAAACATTCATTTTGTGTTTATATGCTAATTTCTTTTTATTATTTTCTTATTAGTTAGGGTTTAATCAACACAGACATTGTTAAATGCTGTATTGAACCCTCAAAGACTTCAAAACCTGAACCAATAAGGAAGAACTTAAAATGTTGTCTGATCAACACATTTTCCTATAACAAAAGGAAGAACTTCTTCCATCTTTTCTTTTCTTCTTTTGCAATAACAAAAATAGGGGTTTCAGCCCCTATGTTTTTTGAAATTTCTTTTCTTTCTTTTTCTTCTCATGCATATGTTGGAATATGCTGATTTTCTATACTTTAACATGAAGTTTATACTTTTCTTATGAAAATTATGAATAATTATTAAGGAAATATGGTTATGGAACCTAGGGAACTACCCTCCATCTCCTAGGCAACCGGGCGACAAGGTTCCCCCCTATCGCCTAGCCTCTCCTTGGCGCCTTGAAAACTATGCCAAAGGCAACAAAAAACATGGAGAGTAAGAGACCAAGGTGATGATGAAAGAAACAACAAAGAAAAATGGAAACCTCTCATGAAGGATAAAGGAGGGCATATGATTTATGAGATAACAAGAAGTAGCATTACTATAATAAATCCTTGGAATAGACATCTTTAATAATAGAGCACATGTAACCTCGAAGAGTGGATGATTTTTCCACTTGGCTACACATAGGAAACAACATGATTAGGACCCTAGACATTTAAATGAAAAAGGTAAAATGGACTTAATGCTCTATTAGAACGAAGAGCCTTCTACCACGAAAACAGATTCATGTAATCACCTCTAAAGCTGAACTAGACTGAGAACAAGTGTAAAAACAGGGCTGCCTACATCCTTACGGACCTTTCACACACTGTAGACACAGTTATACTACCAAAAGACAGCATTCCAACACTACTTCAATTCTGGTATGATGCTGCTGTCATCCTTAGGGCTGCAAACAGATCACATCGAATCAGATAAATTTGGATTTGTATATATTCAGATTCTAATTGATGTTGGATTGAAATTGGATATTGGATAGCATTAATAAGGTAAATTAAAAATGTTCAAAATATTATAATATTATTAATAAAATGAACTAAAAATGGTTTTGATATTTTCCTTGTTATAAGGACATAAGATAAATGTGTACAACATCCCATCTAGAGAGAGAGCTTCTGCTATCTATGCTCTTTTTCACTTACAATTGCACCCAAAACATTTGTGCTCTCTCCACCCATTGCATAGCTAATTCATCTGCCATGCTGTTAGCGTTCCTGTTTACCCAACTAATTCTCACTTCAAGATATTGAGTCAGCCACTTGAATTTGCCATAAAGCAGTCTCTCTATGCTGCACCCAGCCTGTTACCAAACTTGAATCACCCTCAAGGACTAATTTCTTCAACTTCATATTCCTTGCTCGTTGCACACCTTCCAATAACAGCCATAATCTCAGCCCTTAGTGAGTATCCAACTCCAAATGGACCTGAATATGGTGCAATCACATGCCTATTCTCATTTAATAGTTTAACAATTAAACAGGATGAAATGGTGAAACAGGATTCATGTAGCCGGCCCATATAGTTGGGATAAGGCTTGGATGATGATGTCCATTCTCATTTTTAAAGTCAAAATATACCTCCCACTCTTAATGGCCCCGGATTCCCCTACTGTGTCCATCAAAATGCAACTTCATCAATTGTAAAAGAAGAGAAGCTCTCCATGGACTTCATCAATGGACCAACCTAGTAGTTATACATTCAATAATCCCTTCTTTGCTTCTTGCATTCCTCTCATCTCAAACTGTCCAAACAAGTGCACCCTTGGCTAGGCAAAAGAATTTGGAAAACAACTTTACCATATTATCCGGAGGAGCTCACCCGACTTTTATGAAACTTTAACCTGTGACTTTAGTAAAAATATGGCATTCAAATCAATGTTACATAGATGCAATATAAATTTTTTAAGAAAATATATACTTAAATTGAACCAAATCAGATCATATCGGATTGGATAGGGAAAGATTCATATTACAAAACAGATTGAATTTTAATCACCCTTAGCTGGATAAAATTTGGACAAATGGATATCATTTGCAGCACTAGTCATCTCCTTGTAGCCAGCTTCTGAAACATTTTAAATTGTTCAATTGTTCAACTCATAATCACCACACACCATGTTCCTCTTTGAAGACTATCAAATAGAGGAACTTTAATCTATGACTGCACAAACAACTAGCCACAAAAGATGCCACAAACAAATCTGATATCACCCTGCTCACAGACTTGACATCATAGGAGAGAATAGACCCAAATCTCTGAACACAAGTTTAGAGAAGAGAACAGATCACGTGTTTCAATCAGTTCCAGACCACTCTGGTACCATGTTACAATCCTGTGATCCCTTTAACCAGTATAGCAAAACAGAAAAAAAAAAGGAGAGAAGAGAGAAAACTGATATATAGGGAATTCATTTTCTACCTTCACCTATAGTAGGTGTTTTGACTGCTGCTACAGTAGTCCGAACAGGAAGAAGAAGAAGAAGAAGAAGAAGAAGAAGAAGAAGAGAAGAAGAAGGGTCTGTCGAAAATCTGATGGTTAACCCCATCCAGTCGACCCCCTTAATCTATATTAGATTCTAATAATGTTTACAAAGATAGAAATGCCCTT